ACAGGGAGATGCTGGGAGAAGCTCTTCAGGGCTCCAACAGCTACAGGGGTGGGGAGAGAACCTGAATGTCTTGGTTATGGCTGCAAAAAACCCGTCGCCTCCTCCCTGCTCCCACTCCCACTGCAGCGGACAGGAAGGAATGATGGATGTCCACTTTAAATGAAGGGAGAAGAGGAGAAAGAGCTGTGGAGGGGAGGAGAGAGGCCTCCTCCCAGCCAGCACGTGCTGGGCTCGGTGCACTCTGATCTGTGGTAATTACAGCACGAGGAGGAGGGAGATGGGACACGTCAGCTCCTGTCACTTGGCTAATGAAGGGGTCAAGTGTCCCTCCTCACAGCTGGAGCAGGGCAGCAGAGCTCATCCCTCCTGCCTGCGGGGTGGAGGCAACACGAGGGAGGAGAGGGTGGGCTTCAGCTGCTGTCATTGAGCATGGGAGGGGTTGGAGGGACCTTAAAGCTCCTCCAGCTCCAAACCCTGCCCCGGGCAGGGACACCTTCCACTAGAGCAGGTTGCTCCAAGCCCCATCCTTGAGCCCTGCCAGGGATGGGGCAGCCACAGCTTCTCCCTTCAGCCCATTCTAGTTCCCCACCACCCTCACTTCTGCCTTATCTCCAACTCAAATCCCCCTGTATCAGTCTGAACCCATCACCCCTTGTCCTGTCACTGCTGAAGGTCCCTCTCCAGCATCCCTGCAGCCCCGTCAGACGCTGCAACTGCTCTGAGCTCTCCAGCAGCTTCTTTTCTCCAGGCTGAGCAGCCCCAGTGTTCTCAGCCTGGCTCCTATGGGAGCTGCTCCAGCCCCTGCTCATCCTCGTGGCCTCCTCTGGACTGTGTTGACCCCTCATAAGCAGGGAGCAGATCAAGGAGGAACCAAGCCCCAAGGCCTGGCTGGAAATCACTCCCTGGCTTCCTGCCCTCGCTGTCTGCACACGAGTGGCAGCAGCAGATGACACCAGGGCCCAGCAGCCCGACAGATCCAATTACTCCTTAAGAAAAGGAACTGCTCCGAAGAGCAGATGTGGCAAGAGCAGAGGACCAGGCTCTCCCCTTGGCCTGTCCCTCCATCCCTTGTCCAAAGCCCCTCTCCAGGTTTCCTGGAGCCCCTTTGGGCACTGGAGCTGCTCTAAGGTCTCCCTTCAGGAGCCTTCTCTTCTTCCCCAGAGCTGGGGACTCTGCAGGGAGCCTTTGGCAAAGCCTTAAGCCACGAAGGAAACAGCAAATCCCAACAGCAACAGGCTGAACTCCAGCTTCCAGCAGCACCACCAGCTCTAGAGACACGTGTTGGGCCTTCAGGAGGCGACCTGTGAGTCACAGAGCTGTGCCTCCATGGACAAGGGCTGTCCCACAGCAACACCAACACAGTCCCCACTTCCAGAAGCTCCAGCAGATCTAGTGCTTAGGTGGAGAGGGCTCTGCCCTCGCAGCAGGGATGAAATCAAGGCAGAACATGGCATCAGCCACCTTCAGGCCAGCGCAGCACCAGGATTTATGGAGCACCCCCAAGACCACGCACTCAGGACCCTGCTGACTTCAAGAGTCCACTTCAAGCCTTTCAAAGCCAGTGCAGCTCAAATGCATCCCACCAAGGAGCCCTGGCAGTGCTCATTCCAACCGTGCTTTGGGTTTTCCTTGGAGCTGCTCCCAACAGGGCTGCTTTCTCTAACACCTCTGGTCTGGAGCAACAGCTCCAAAGCCACATCCAAGAGCCTGCACATACAAAACATTCATCTTCCTGTAGGTGAGTAACTGCAATTTCAAAAATCACACTTGATGGCATCATTACAAAGGCATTTAGGGATTAAATTCAGTCTGGAGTCGATAAAGGGGGGCTGCTGAAAAGCAATTTTCCTCTAGGAATTGCACATGTTCCTTCTGTAGAGTCAAGGGGATTACTCCTATAGGTATCTACAGCTGGTTTCCAGCATCAAATCCATGCTGGGCCCCTGAAGACAAGGCAGAACCATAGAATCACAGACTGGGTTGGAAAGGACCTTAAGATCACCTAGTTCCAGGCAGGAAAAGCCTCCAGCTTGCTCCAAGGCCCTGTCCAGCCTGGCCTTACAGCTCCTTTAGAGCCAGTGCTCATGTCCCACAGTGAAACCAAATTCATTCTCAGGCTGTGAAGGAACCCAGGCAAGTCCCTTCCCTTGGTGGCAGCATCTGCACCCCCTGAGCAGCAGCCCCGGGGCCACGTGGCTGCAGCAAAGCCAGGATCAGCCCAAGCAAAGTCATTGCCCTGCTGCAGTAAACACTACTGAGCACTGGGGATTCCAGGCAGCGCCTGCACGAGCCCAGCACTTCCCCAGCCCCACGTTCCCAAAGCAAAAGCAGCCCTGGACAAAGCTGCTGTGCTCAGCACGGGTCTTACCTTCTGTGCCTGAGCAGGTTCAGTGAGGACCAGAGTGAAGAGCCCCAGGCAGATCTCCTCGTGCTGGGGGGTTCCTTTGCATATCTAAGAGAGAAGAAGGCAAGCGCCAGCAGTGAGAGGGGGATCAGTGAAGCAAGAGAAGGAGGAAACCCCTTTCGAGCTCCCCAAATGGGTGGTCAATGGAGCATCCAGCAAGGATCAAAAGGGAACACAGAAAACATAAAGGGGCTCCCTGACATTCGTGGCCTGGTGCGAAGGGAATGGTGGTGCAAAGCCCTGGGCACTGAAAGCTCTGAGTGAGTTCAGGTGGACTTCAGGGTATCTGAGAGGGGCAACAACCCCCTGCCACAACCAGCAGCAGATCATGGAATGGGCTGGAAAAGAGCTTAAAGCTCCTCCAGCTCCAACCCCTTCCACTGGAGCAGGTTGCTCCAAGCCCCTGTGTCCAACCTGGGCTTGAACCCTGCCAGGGATGGGGCAGCCACAGCTTCTCTGGGCACCAGAGAGGACTCGGTGGATGGGACCTGCCCACTCTCTTCCAGCCTCTCCCACAACCTGTGCCTCCAAGTGGGAATGAATTCCATGAGCTGTGGCTTGCCAAGCTTTCCCCACGCAGGGAAGGCAACTCTGTACCACAGGCCAAGGTGTTGTGGGGAGCTCAGATGCAGCAGACACAGCTCCAGAGCCCACTAACATGGCACACACCAGTTTGCCTTATAGGGTAACATCTGCAGCTCGCTGGCAAGACCAGGCAGAGGTCGAAATGAATGCTCCATCCCCTCAAGAGAATGAACGTGCCCTTTCCAGTGGGCTGGAATCTGGTTGTTTGGAGGCCAGGCAAAAGCTGAGTCCAAAAATACACGAGGAACTCGGGCACCAGCAGCACACATGCAGCGAGAGGCTCCTGTGTGTGTGTTCATGTGGATGGAGCTGGGAGAGGGGCAGGATCCACCCAATCCCAGCAGGGAACTGCACTGATCTGAGGAAGAACCAGCTTCCAAATGGATCTCCAGGTGAGGATTGAAGCCACAAAGTTGGTTTAAGTGTGGGCTCCTTCACGGGGGGGGGAGCGGGGAGAGCGCATCCCCCTCCCTTACACAGTATTCCATGAGTTCTTTGATCCAGGCAGGATGTCTCACGGGCAGGACACTTACGTGAGCATTGAGAGCATCGTTGGCCTCCCTCTCTGAGAGCCCGTTGGTGAGTGAAGTCACGATGCCCACACACCTCTCTAGCCTCTGCAAGAGAGAAGAGCCACACGTCACAAACCTGAACAAAGAGCACTTCAGCACAGCTTCACTGAGACAAGAGGCTGCTTCAACCCCCCCAAACACCTCCAGGGCCACAAAACCAGCTTCGTGACAAGGCTCCTGCCGGCTGGAGAAGCCACCACTTCATCAGTGCTCATTTAGTCACAGGTTTGGGGGTGCAACCCTGCCTGGCACAGCTCCCAGAGGCACAGGATGTGAGCACTGAGGTCTCCTTGAGCCCAGGCCAGGCTGGAGGGAGGGCTGCCAGTCCTGTGCCCCATCCTCCAGTGCGGCA